CCCTAGTTAAAGCTTAATAATCTCCATTTCACTAGACTGGAGTCAGTTATAAAGATACTATCAGGAATGAGGAATGGGTTGGAATTAATAAGCTGGTATCTATTATGTTGGAATGTACGTATATTTTAGTGAAGGAAAAGTTCCTTCGTATAAATCTCCCTCTAGAGGATTACTCTCTCTGTGTGTGTGTGTGTTTGTGTGGAGAGAGAGAAAGAGATCTTATATTATCCTATTTACTCCATATTGTCAGAACTTTTCAGAATTGGCATCACTCACTGATTATTATTTTTTTAAATCAGGATTAAACCTGAAAGTTTTTCATGTGAATGCTATCTAGATATTGATAAATCAGGTTTCTTTTATATCATTTCTTCTATAAATGCATTAATTTGCAAATTAAAACACATAATTTCATATGCAAGTTTTTCTAACATATTTATATTGTACACAATTTTCTCAAATATATGCATTTTATATGCATTTTTTTCCTTTCATTAGGTACTTAGATCTCTTTTCTGGGCCATAAGAGACCAAATGTCCAAACGTTGGTGTCTTTTTAATTTTTTTGTATCATTGTACATAAATTCCTTTGAGTCCTATACAGATCCCTGTGGAACTTTCAACGTTTATGTCAATTCCTAGCTCAATATGACAAGTCAGTAGACAAGGGAAATGGAAACATTTTCTAAAATATGTGGAATGAAAACTACTCAATATATATACATACATACATACATACATATTATATATATATATATCTCATAAGGCTGGAATGAGGAATCTATCATGGCACCAGCACCCTTATTTTATTTAATCCAAAGAAGAACATTTTATCCATATGCATGTGACACCTTGTGCCTGCTTAGAATAATTCTATCATTTATCATTATTATGACAGACGAGCAATGCCCTCAAACTCAGCTCAACGTCTGGCGACCATCTGAGTACATCCATGTAGTTCATCACGCATCATTTGCCATTGTCTTCTAGGATATTTTTAACCCTCTAATTTAGTCAACGATCTTGAAATTCATGGGTAGAAACCCATCTATGCAGTAACCAAATTTAATCCTCCTTACTGTTTAACCTAGGCAAGGTCAACTCAAGGATGAGATGTATCTTCTTAATGGTCCACTGAGTTATATTGTCTACAGTGGAAGTGTAAAAGAACCCAGAGATGATTTTTGAGAAAATAAATAGTAGCTGCTGATAAAAACACTATGAAACTTTCAAGATTTTGCTACTAATCCTATATTGATAAAGTAGAGTTCTAGCATTACTTCTGGTATTTGTCTCCAGACCTGACGTACCAGAAAGAATTGGCATTAATGAAAATCTCACAGTATTTCCCTTTCCTTTTCCTTCTTATGCCAAAGAGACCCAAGTAGGACAATCTTTAGTTTCTTTCTCACATTTTCTTGTTTTTTTCTCAGTTGATGCTTTACTAATTAAACTAACAGAAAGGTAAAGTGCAAAGTAACAAAAAAAAAGAGTTTTAAAAAAGGACAAATCCAATCAAAGTGGGAAGAACTTAAAAAGTGACAAAAATAAAAAAAGAAATTTGATTCCTAACTTTATTCAGTACAAATACAAATATATAATAAAATAATCTCTAAATTCAAACAAAAACATCATATAAACAATATGCAAATGTAACAATCCAAAAGTCTCCAAATCTATACAGCAAAATAATCTCTTATTTGTAGCATAAACCTTAATAATGTACAATAAACACATGCACACACAAATACGTACATATTATGCACAATATTTTCCATAATCATAACAAATCTGATTATCAAACATTTTACTAATTTAAGATCATCTCTATGCTCCTCTAAGGGAAACCTGAGGCAAAATTTCACATTGATGCATTATTCCCAACATTAAAGTATATTTTAATAGAACTTTTCAACATTTTCCATCTAAGACTTTGAGACTTAGAAGAAACTTTTCTTTTGAGTCCTAAACAAATCCCTGTGGAACTTTCAATTTTTATGTCAATTCCTAACACTGTAGTTCAGTATGACAAGTCAGTAGACAAGGGAAATGGAAACATTTTCTAAAAGATGTTACCACATGCTGGATTATTCTGAATGATTCTATACGCTAAAATAAATATATACTGTACATCAAAAAGCTGAGAATTTTCTTGACTCACTTATGATATAGGGAAAGGGAGAGAAAGATGTTACGCTACAAAGTACCAACTTTTTTTTTTTTTAATTTGATTTATATGCCGCCCTTCTCCGGAGACTCAAGGTGGCTTACAATGCGTTAAGCAATAGCCTTCATACTTTTGTATATTTATACAAAGTCAGCTTATTGCCCCCACAACTGGGTCCTCAATTTACCTACCTTAGAAAGGATGGAAGGCTGAGTCAACCTTGAGCCTTGGCGAGATTCGAACCTGCAGTAATTGCAGGCATCTGGTTTTAATAACCAGCTTAATAACAGGGTGCCTTAGACCACTGTACTACCAAGGTTCTTACTTCTATAGCAGCATTTTTATTAGAAGAGCTTTATACAGTAAGAACTAACAAAAACCATTTGCTTCTGGCTAACATTTCTTCTCATAGACAAGACAACCCTCTTCTATTGTGGCATTTTGAGAAAGTTCCCATAATATCCTCAGTGCAAATGTGCTCAATGGCCCAGAGAGGTTGTCAACTCCTGACATAAATAATACATAACAGAGAAGAACTACACCATCTCCCAGGTTTTGAATGTACTCAGCATTTTTAATCATTCAAAGCTGAACTTGCAATCAGAAGTGGTAGAACTCAGATGTTTATCATTTCAGAGAAAACTAGGGCTATAATGAGTAAGGACCTCATAAAAATTATCAAGATTTTTGGCCACTTTTCCCAGGACTCCTACAGTAGATAAGAAATCTGTTGGTAAATGACTATGTCAGGGTTCCGACAGATGCCCTAATGGAGCCAAGCTTCAAAAGAAATCCAGTTATTTATTAGGAGCAACATGTCGGCACATACCCAAGTGAAGCCAGCTCTAACCCACAAATTGCCCCCCAATTTATGGCCCAATTATGGCCCTGTTTCCTCCTCCTCCCAGGGTATATCATAAATCACATTCTCCAACGGAGCACTTTTGCGGGCAGTAGAGATCCCGCCCCTCCAGCTGTTGCCGGTAACCTGGCATACAGCCTTGAGAAAAGTATGTGTAGAATGTGTTTCTGGTTGTGGCTGCCATGCTGCTCCATCAGTTTCCCCCCCTCCTGCCTATGGCAACTCGAGAGCAGGTCAGGGATGCTTTGTGAGTTGACAGACTGTGGGTAATTTCTAGTTTTATTTGTTTCCATCAGTCATAGTTGCTTGTGGGATGTTTGTGGGAATGTAAACAACTCCAGGCTGATTCCTATTTGTTTTGTCTCCAACCCCAAACTCTGTCTATCCTTCTCCTATAGAAACAACACTGTGGCTTTTGTATAGATAATCCCAAAGGGATGGCCTTTGGCAATTCCAATATTAGCCAATACATCTAGATCAGAGCAAGCCCGCACACCATTCAGTTCAGCTATCAGAAAATAAAGCATGATGTTTATTTATCAAAAACCAGCAAATGGAAGCTACAGCTGGTACATAAAGCAGCTGCCCAAACAGGCCTTAAAATGGCCCATGTAACAAGCCTGTTGCATAAGCTGCACTGTTTGTGAGTTTGCTTCAGGTTCCAATTCAAAGTGTTGGTTATGACCTTTAATGCCCTTTATGGCATGGGTCTAGTTTACCTGAGAAACCATCTCAGCCCATTCCACTCAAACTTGGTAGTACAGAGGTTTAAGGCACCCTGTTATTAAGCTGGTTATTAAGACCAGCTGCCTGCAATTACTGCAGGGTTCGAATCTCGCCAAGGCTCAAGGTTGACTCAGCCTTCCATCCTTTCTAAGGTAGGTAAATTGAGGACCCAGTTGTGGGGGCAATAAGCTGACTTTGTATAAATATACAAAAGGATGAAGGCTATTGCTGAGCACATTGTAAGCCGCCCTGAGTCTTCGGAGAAAGGCGGCATATAAATCAAATTAAAAAAAAAAACTGGCAGAAGGCCATGGTCTCTGTTGGTCAAGGATTTCTGGTCAGCAGGGTTCAGGAGAAGAGCCTTTTGCCATGATTCCTGCCCTCTGGAATATCATGACCCTTAAGTTCAGATCCTCCCCACCTTCTTGGCCTTCAAAAAGGGCCTTAAAATCTGGCTCTACCAACTGGTGTTTCATACTGGAGGTAGTTAATGGATTAAGAGCGGATTGTCCTTGCATATTGGTTCCTTCCTTAGCTATTTTAATGTTAATATTTATTGTTTAAATTGTTTTATTTTGTGGTTTTTATCTTGTTATCTGCACGGAGTATAAGATGCACCCAAATTTTCAGCCCCTTTTAGGGGGGGAAAATGTGCATCTTATACTCCGAAAAATACGGTAAGTCCAAGATGGCAGCCTTGATGGTATGAAAGCTCCATCTATCTTTTTATGTATGATTCATGAGAAGTTGAGGCATTAGTTCCGTCCTCTGCAACAACATCTATATAGGACATGGTAGAAGGTTACTGTATCTGAACAAATTTCAACTGAGCTACATCCAACAACAACAAAATAACCACTATCATAATTTGATCATGAAAGAAGACCATGATCCAACTCATATCTGAATGGGAAAAAATGAATCATTTCACATGGGCTTCAACAACATCTCTCTCAGCTCTGACATTTAGCAGAGCTCTGAGACCGGGGCGGGGTGGGAGAAAGTCCTTGGACGACTCTTATTCTACTATCTGCTACTGCTGTTTCTATTCACTGAGCAAAATGGATTAGTTTAACCTTATTTCAAAAATGCTAACTCCGGTTCAGAAGCTTTTACGAGACACAGACTTTAATTATTCTTTTGATAGCTCAGGTATCAAAGCGTTTACTGATCCACTATCAAGATCACGGCTGAAAATTATGAGCCCACAGAGTTGCTATCAATTTAACATTCAGCCAACCTTACCTGGTGAGTGAAGTGGAGGAGAGCATATTAGTACCACACCTTGACCTTCTCTCACCGAGACAGCACTTCTTGTTCGTCCGCTGAAATTCCCCAGATCTGTTAACATAAGAATGCAATTTTGATTTGCAAGGAGAACGTTTTCAATATTAGTGTCCATACAGAGTTATTTTCCTTTCTTTCTTATGCTAAAAAAACATCGCTTTTTCTATGCCTCAAAAACACAAAAGAGAACAAAACATCCATTTCAATGTATTCTGGATAATTACAGCTAGTAAATAGAGATATTCCATGTGGCATTTTTATTATTTCTTAGAGGATGCAGAAATGTGTCAGCCAAAAGGCATTGGGCGATATGCCGGTTTATAACAGGTATCTAATAGCTCTTTTACAATTTCTCACTTATTGATTTCTTCCCTAATAAAAAGCCATTCTGTGTACAGTTGAAAGTGATGCAAAGGGAGGTGAGGAAGCTGTGCATCTTACCTGTATCCTGGATAAAGCTCTTGAGTGTTATAAAAAGGATACTGCAACTTAACTAATAAACCATACAAATGTTTGCAATATTGGCTCTATTGGTCTGTAGAGATTCTCAGTCATCCAGGTCATGGTTGTCCCCAAAGTGCTTTTTCAGGAGGCAACTGGACTTTTCTTGTTTTTTTTTCTTTGAAGACGTTTCACTTCTCATCCAAGAAGCTTCTTCAGCTCTGACAGGATAGTGGGGAATGGAAGGATTTATATTCCTTGCAAGCAGCTGGTCATTTGCATCCTTCTAGAGCAGGGGTGTCAAAGGGCCTGGTGGCTCAGCAGACTGATAGCATTGTGATTAACACCAGCTGTCTGCAATTACTGTAAGTTCGAACCTCACCAGGCTCAAGGTTGACTCAGCCTTCCATCCTTTCTAAGGTAGGTAAATTGAGGACCCAGTTTGTGGGGGCAATAAGCTGACTTTGTATAAATATACAAAAGTATGAAGGCTATTGCTTAATGCATTGTAAGCCTCCCTGAGTCTCCGGAGAAGGGCGGCATATAAATCAAATTAAAAAAAAAACCTCACATCATCACAGCAGCATCACGTGATGTATCTTGACTTTTTCCCCCTTCGCTAAACAGGGTGTGGGCATGGCCAATGCATGAAGCATCTGGCCCGTGGGCTGCGAGTTTGACACCCCTGTTTTAGAGGGTTGTTCTTGGATGAGAAGTGAAACGTCCTCAAAGAAAAAAAAAACAAGGAAGTCCAGTTGCCTCCTGAAAAAGGAGCTTTGGGATTGGCTGTATTGGGAAATCTGTGCCATGGGTTCCTGTTGAGAAGATATTATGATTCATGGCGTTCACATTAGACTATAAAGCTCTGAACATTATTTTTTTAAAAATATTAAAAAATATTTTAAAAGTCTGAATTCCCTAATTCTGTCAAATTCCTATTGTGGGGAGATCTTGCTTATGATCTCAGCTATGGATATGTCTCACTCAGTGGTGAAATGTAAAAAGAATTATCTTTTAATTCTCGCATAGCCATACGGGACATTTTTATTGTTTTTTATTGTCTTGTTTTTCTGCCAATGGGGCAATATTTTTTTGAACCCTTTTGAACCCTTGGCCTTATTTTCGGGAAGGTCTTACTATTTTGGGGTGCGTGGAGCAAGATGGGGCTCCTCTTGCCATCTTACCTGATTTCCAGCTCTGCATTTAAATATTTTCAGGGAGGACTTACTTTTGGATGGGGGCTTATTTTAGTGTATGTGCTCAAAAACCCGATTGGGCTTATTATTAGGGGATGAAGCACATGTTATGATGGATTTTAAAAATATTCTTTTATTATTTTGGATTTTGTCAAATAAACTAATAAAATATATATTAAAATTACAGGAAAGGAGAGAGGCTAGCATCAGCAGCGGTATATTTGTAACTAATTTTAGTTACGATTATCTATTGTGTACTCCGCTTGGATGAAAAGAAAGGTATAAATGTACATAAACATAAAGAACATAAACAATAATTTTCCATCTCTTTCTATCGTTCCAGTCCCACAAAGCCTTTCCCTCACCTGCAACTGAAGTATATATAATGACACCCCCCCTTTTTTGCAACGTTGCCTAATCACTTCATTTGTACCCTACAATAAAGTTTGCTGTTTGTGTGTTCAGCCTAAACGATTTAAAAACAAATATATTGAAACAAAGCAGGAGGAATGGTCACTGACTTCAAAATACTGGCACAAGCAATTAAGGTGGGTAAATTGTAGGAAGGAAAATGTCCTTATTTTGTAATTTATTGTCAAAGACAATTCTCTTATCTACAAATAAGCCACCTGCAGGGGTGGGCTGCTGGGGGTCCGCAGGGGTTCGGGAGAACCTATAGCTAAGATTCTGTACAATTTGGAGAACACCCAAATCCCACTCCTGGCTGGTCCTGCCCACCCCACCCCTCCCAGGAGTCCCTATGTGGCCCATTTTGAATAAATGGACCACATAAATAAGTGCAGGGTGCGCATGGAGGCTCAGGGAGGGTGAAAAATGGGCCTACCGGAAGTTCAGGAGGGGCAGAAACGGGCCCATTTCTGGCCTCCAGAGGGCTTCTGGAGCCTGGGGAGGCCATTTTCACCTTCCTGGAGGCTCAAGGAAAGCATCCGGAGCCCAGGAAGGGAAAAAAGCCCCCCCCCACCCCCGGTGGTGCAGGAAGCTGACTAGGTGGTCATGGCCACCATGGCCATGCCCACCCAGCAACCAGGCAGAGAACCCCTTGCTAAAATTTTTGAAGCCCACCCATGGCCACTTGTATCTGTTTCTTTAGCAGCATTTGGAACAGGAGTCTTCTTGGCTTTGAAGGTAAATCTATGGAGATTTTCAATCAGCCGGGTCATGGTTGTCCCAAAGGTAATTTTTTTTAAAAAAAATAAGGGCAGCTGGACTTCCTTGGTTTTTTCCTTTGCAAATGTTTCACTTCTCACCCAGGAAGCCTGGAGAAACTTGATGGATGAGAAGCTAAATGAAAAAACCAAGAAATTTGCCTTTAGGGGAAAAAAAGCACCTTTGGGACATCTCTTACGCTCAGATGGGGAACACATTTGGCTTATTAATTTAGTTGTTAGATCTTCTCTTATACATTCTGTTTTGCAGCCTCCACCCTGTGGAAAAGCAGTCCCCAGCGATTCTCAGCTCCTTCTCCCGGGCGATTCGCAGGTAGCAAGAAAACACAACAGGACACATGCAGAGTCTTCAGTGAAGTTGGTTTAATGCTTAGCAGGAACTCCGGAACAACGCTGAGCTCTATAGTAGTTTAATGTTGGCACTACAAACAGCCGCTACGTAGCGCCCTTTATACATTTGCCCTACCCTTCCCTTATTACCAACTGGATAACAATCAGCTGTGACACGCAGTCACGTGCGCCCCTTTTCCGGGTTTCTCATTCATGGGAGCGTCCTGGTCAAACCCCCCCTCGCTTTTCCCTAGCCTGACGCCTCGGCCGCCTATTCCTGGTGCCACCACCACCATTTATGAGTTTGTGTGTCCAGCATCTGGGTGCAGTCCTGCGTCCTTGTTTGTCCGGTTTGCTGAGCGCAGTTCTGTGGTATCAGGTACGTGTGCATATCCTCTTCCTCCTCCCTCCCATTCCATTATTGTCGAGCAGAGGCTTGGGCTCGACAGCGATAAGGACAGTACCCTGTCTCCTAGGAGAGTGATGGCTAACTTTTTCCGGACCGAGTGCCCAAAGCGCATATGTGTGTGCGCGAATGAATGCGTGCACACCTGAACCCCCAAGATGCAATGCACATGTGGCCCCTGTGCATGTGCCCCACCCCCCCACACATGCAAGTGTGCCCCCTGCCTCCTGCACATGTGCGCATCCCCCCATACATGCTCCCTGCACATGCGCATCCTCCTGCATGCACCCCCCCCTTCCCATGCATGTGCACATGGTCCTCCTGCATGTCCCCGCCCCTGCACATGCATGGCAGAGACCTGAAGACCAGCTGGTCGGCGGGAGATGTGCACGTATGTGCAGAGGAGCTGAACTGAACTGGGGCGACGGCTCGCGTGTCATCAGAGAGGGTGCTGCGTGCCACCTCTGGCACACATGCCATAGCTTCACCATCATGGTCTTTAGAAAGCTCTTAAAATCTGATTTTGGCCCTAGGCCTGAGATTAATATATCTGTTGCATTGAGGGCCCCTGTTCGGTTTGATTTGATTGTGTGATTTTTACCTCATTTTAGCCTTTGCTGTCTAGGTAGCTTTAGGTTTTATCTATTTTTATGGATTTTTGTTTTGTTTTCTACGCTGCCCTATAATAAGGGAGTCCTATAATAAAGGAGGCGATTATACATTTAGACAAACAATCATCATCATCATCACCAACAACAACAACAGCACCATCATTATGCCTTTTGTTCAGGAGCTCAAGGTAGAATGTGTAGTGCTACCTCATCCAATCTTTCCCCACAATAATCTTCTGAGGTAGATTAAGCTGAATGGCACAAAGTCATTGAGGGAGCTTCTGTGGTTGAGGATAAATTTGAACTTGGATTTTGAACCTGTCAAGTACACCACAGTAACAGTGACTAGGTTCTATTCGTCAAAATTCAAGAGTTACACCTAATTCCTTGTTACCTTTTCATCTCCTTACTTCTGTGCTACTTTTTTTTTTTTTTGCTTGCCCTTGAACCTGTAATTTAGATAGTTATCATCTTACATAAGGAACAATGGCTTCTTATAAACATTATCCAGTGCAGGCAAGGATTAATAATACCATTCACAGAGGAATAGAGTGACAGGACTTTTACAGAAATAATTTTTTCATGATTTGATATTATTAGCCTGGTAGTTTTAGATGCTTATTTTTAGAAGGTGAAATAGGTTAGTAACATAAGAAAGCTGAAGGAAAGAGCTGGAAAATATATTTCTGCAAGAAGAATGAGGTCAGTAGCAGTCGGATTCCAAAATGAACTTTCTTTCTGTGAAGAAAAAAATAAATAAACAGGCTGCCTGTTTTCCTGCTGAAATCATTAGAGAATTTAAGAACAGAAAATTAAATTAACCCCTGACTGGGTTTTACAATATACAAAATATATGAAAGACTCTCTCCCTCTCCCTCTCCTT